CATCTGGCCGCCCCCTTATAACGACACCTCGACGCGCCCGATTATTTGCCCGCCTGGCCGTTTATCCTCGGCGAATCGATTCGTCGCGCATGCATCTTACTTACTTGGCCCAACCAGCCCAAGGGGGAGAGGATGTAAACTGGCCGCCGTGTAAACGGCTTGCGGCCGTTGCTCCATTTCGCAACAATGATCCTGTCCGCGGACCGACCCGCGGACCAACTCGACCGAGCAAGTGAATCGCGTTTGCCGCATTTTGCCACCGATTAAAAAAAAAAGGGAGCGACGGGGAAAGGGCGAGGCAGAGAGTCCCTTCCGATTGAAACGTTTTTGTTATTTAATCGAGTTCCAGCGCTTCTGTGTTTCCCACTCGAACGCTCTGTGAAAAATTAATCGCCGCGAATTTGCGCAAATATTCAGTTACGCGAAATTGCGAAAGTCCTTCCGTCCCCCCGCTCCGGCGATTTGCGCGACTCGTCGCGCGCGCGCGTTTGCGCAATCGGGAATTAAATCGCCAAATCGAATTATCGTCGAATCACTTGTCGTATAATTGCGAATTAAATAGTCCAGCTCCCGCGCTGTCAACGACACGCTCGCCGGGAGGGGGTTAATAACGGCGTGCGCCCTTAAATCGACTCTCGCTCTTCCGCTCTCTTTCTCTCTCTCTCTCTCTCTTTCTCTCTCCACCTTTTCTCTCTCACGGGGTGATTTCAGCACTTCGTTCGCCGGTGTGTGTGTGTGTGTCCGACACGCGACGACAAAGCGAACGGCTTCCGTGCAATTATAACGCGCTCGCTCACGCGCGCCGCGACCTTTCATTTCCGTCGAAACCGCGCGCGGTGACACCTCCTTTTGCTGGGCGCACGCCGCCGCTCTTTTGCCGGATTACTTGCGGCTGATTAAATCCGCAACCGGTTAATGCAACATCAAAGAATATCGGAGATCCCGGTCCTGGGATCAGCGATGCTCGCTGATGGACGAGCCGACGAAATAGACGTGCGCGGTATTATCGGCGCGGCTCTCCGTGAAATTTGCTATTTCCTTCGTTTCTCTCCCCGTCCTCCCACTCTCTACCACATGAAAAAAACAAACGGAGAAAAAAAACGCTCCGTCCACCAAGATAGCTCCGTCAATCCACGTTGAAATGGCGCTCTCGTCGCCAATGTTTAATGCACAAAAAATCCTTCATTTCCGAACGAAGCCGCGCGCTTTTTTGCTCCATGATTTGTAATTCCGTTTCGATATTTCCCCCCTCCCTCCTACTCCTTTCGCCGTCCTTTTTGTATGCTCTTCTTAATCTTCTCGAAAAATTAACTTTTTAAACTGCACTGTAGACTGCACGCGTATCAGGGTGCGCGATGCGACGAAAGCCAGTGCACGACGGACTTTCTTAAAGACGGCGGATTGAGAGAGATAGAAAGGAAAATTGAAAAAACGCGATATAATATAGTACAACAGAGAGTGAAGAAGAAAGAGACAATGAGATGTAAAATACCCAAGAGCACAAAAAGATGAAGAAGAAGAAAACTGTAATAATGATAAAAAAAAATGAACAACGCGTTAGAAATTAGTCGATAGATTAAGAGATCATTACTCCGATATCTCCAATATCTCCAACGAAATATGATCTTATTCTAAGCGGAATTCTCTTATACATGGCTCTTATCCAGAGGATTCTTGTAGAAAAATATTCTATATGAAAAATATTAGAGTAGAAAAATATTCTATATGAAAAATATTAGAGTAGAAAAATATTCTAGCGCTAGAAAGAAAATGGTTGCAAGATGCTATTTTCTGTAACCCCATATCCCCTAAACAAAAACTTTTACCGAAAGAGTACTCCTCTTCCAATGAGGTGAACTATTAAATGGGAAATCTACTAGATATCATTCTAACATTTTTACCGTTACATGTCATTCATATTCAATAATAATAAAGAAATTGATAAGATGATTTAGGAACTTGGTGCGATTTCAACAACTCTTCCCTACCGGTGTCACTAATATTCAGGAATTTTTGCCCCTTGAGATGAACTATTAAATGGGAAATCTACTAGATATCATTCTAACATTTTTACCGTTACATGTCATTCATATTCAATAATAATAAAGAAATTGATAAGATGATTTAGGAACTTGGTGCGATTTCGACAACTCTTCCCTACCGGTGTCACTAATATTCAGGAATTTTTGCCCCTTGAGATGAACTATTAAATGGGAAATCTACTAGATATTCTAACATTTTTACCGTTACATGTCATTCATATTCAATAATAATAAAGAAATTGATAAGATGACTTAGGAACTTGTTGCGATTTCGACAACTCTTCCCTACCAGTATCACTAGTATCCAGGAATTTTTGCTCCTTGCTGTAGATAGAAGACAAAATTTCTCCAACTTTGAGAATGACATTTCGCTTACAACACTTTCCTTTTGGTTTTAGAGAATCCTCTTAAGGCCATATATAAGAGGATTCCATTAAAGATAAGATTATATATATTTTTGGGGGATTTTTATCCGGTTTGTTATATTGCTTTTCGACTCAGCCATGTACTCACTCACACCTCCTCAACGGAGCTCAAGCAACGAGCCTCGCCCTTTCATCCGGACCAGATAAGTACTTTCGACGTAGGGTCGAAAGAGGTAATCATGATTTAACAGTCCATGCTTTGATAGCACGTTGCACTAACCACAACAACCTGCCCTCACCCGCGGGTGTGTATCACGAGACTATTTCTAAATTAACGCGACCCGACCCGACGCGTCGCCGTGGAGAGACGTCGTTATCCTATTTATAATATAATTATCCCGCGGCTTCTCGCTCCTAATTATGCTCCCCGTCCCCCCTCTCTCACTCACTCTATCTCTCTTTCACTGAGGAATTCAACCAAATACCTCCGCAGCCGGAAGGACGAGCGCGCCGCCTCGTAATAGACGCGCTCGCGGGATTGTTTTACCGCTCGGTGGTTCTTAGCGGCTGCGATTTATACGTCCGAGGCGGTAATTCGTCGCGATGCCACACGCGCGAGGAGAGAGAGAGAGAGAGACCGAGAGAGAGAGACTTTGTGTTGGCTGGACAAACAGCCTCGGTCTATCGCCTTGAGTCCGTCGCGCGCAAATAACCAAGACTGTCCAGCCACGCGCGAAATACCGGCTAAGTACCGTAAAATATGTATCGCTGCTGTTGACGCATTGAGAGAGAGAAAGAGAGAGAGAACAAAATTTTCACGATGAATTTTAATTCCCTCCACCCGCAGTGACGCCCACAGAACTCGCAAGCTTCGAGTTTTTCGGAGATAAAAATTTTATGACGTGACGAAAGCACCTTCTCTCAGCGGGTAATGAGATAAGCTTTCCTCAAACAGAAGTAAATTGCGGTTTGACCGAAATCCGCGATATTATGATAACGATTTCACGACGGCGCGAAGGGGGAGACTTAAACTCCATCGGCTTTAATTATCGGTCCCCTTGCCCGAGAGAGTTCAATTAGCGGGGGCATAGCGAAGGAATTCTCCCTCTCCCTTGCCGCTACCCTCGCGGCGCGTCGCATTTGGCGCGGCTGCCAAAACGCCGGCGAAATACGGACTCGATTTAATTTAAAATTTAATTCCGCGCGTTATTTTCCGTACTGCGCATTCGCGGGCGCATTCGCTTCCCGAAAACGTTTGAAATGCCAAAATCCGACAGGAACGATCCGATGGATCGTTGCGAAATTTCGCGAAACACACGGTCGCACCAATGTGTTTGAACGTTACGCGGCTGTCGCGTGTCGTTACACGACAATCTTCGTGACTAGGGGAGCGAGATTCGCGGGGAAATATCCGGGAATGTGCCATGTGGACGCTCTCTGTTTGCGAAAGCGTACTATTGTTTGCGCAAAATAAAACTGAGCCCAAAGTCACGCGCGTCACGACAGATAATTGAAATGTGCAAGTAACTTCGGGGAAAAAAACTATTCGACTGAAATTTCTCTCTGACATAGTATCACTGTGCTTCATCTGGTGTTTTCATTTATTTCTACACTGCAAAAGAACAAATGTCTGAAGAGCGAAAAATATCAATTCGGTGAATAGGGGAGACCGGGATTATGTTTCAGAATTTCGAAGGTACAACTTAAGACAATTAAGTGTTGTGACTGACTGTACATGCGTGATAGAAGCGGCCTTTTATTCCAGTTGTTAATGTCCGTCAATTAATGTATTTTGTTTTGTGATAACCAAAATATGAACATGTAGTAACGTAGCCTTGTATCGAATTCAGTTGTCCGATTGCGCAGGATAAGAAGACCACGTATAAAATATGTATTCTAATTAGTAGTTCCAGAGTTTCCGCGAGAGGTCCTCCTGCTAGCCCTTAATCATAGGCCAACTTTACCTTCTCCTCCCATATGCTCTAGTTTAATCAATAAAAACTACATTGTTATCAGAAACAATATATCATACACTTGCAAGAAATTTCATTCTAACACATCGCTTGATCTTATTCAGATGCAGAATATTGATACAAAATTTCGAGAGGCTCGAAAATTTCCTTTGCTATTACCAAAAATCAGTTTTTTCAATTTCTTAAATATAATATTATACCGATTTTGATGGAACTCGGGGAAAGGTATTTATATTCTAAAAGAATCATTTCGCGATTTTATACCCACTATTCTTAAGATAAATACTAAAAAAAGGACATGAGCAACATATCCCTGGGCCATATAGCCTCGGTCTTCCCTGCTAATAACGTATTCACTTAAATGTTTTTCTTTTCTTAACAGAAAAACATTTTGAATGTCTTATTATCTCTTCGATAATTTTTCCGCCGGCGTACATATCGGCGAGTGAAAACGGGCCATCTAAAGAGATGAGAGTAATAATTCTCTCCTTAGCCGAACATTATCAAAGGTAAATTACTCCAGTTGGCGACGCGCGTGACTTTTGACCCGCTCTGTAGCGCGCGGGCGTGCTTCCGCCTCCGTGCTCTTGCTTTCAAACGGGCTTCGCTTTTGTACTTACCGTTAAGCTTCACTCTCCTTCGCGCGATCCAATATCCACGAGAGAACGACAAAGAGGGGAGAGAGAGGTTTCGTTCCGCTGGCCGTCTCGATCAATTAACTGCATCCAATCTGCAAGGAGAAACGGACGATGTGGCGATGAAAAAAGATCTCGCGCCTGTTCGCTAATTAATTCGGCCATTAATTCGCCGGTCGAGCCGAGCGGCCGCGCGAGCGATGATTAATCGCCGTCGTGGCAGCCGCAAACCGCCGCACATCGACGTTTATTTTCCCGACTCCATTTTCGCCGGATAAAAATCGCGTGTCGCGTCTCTCTCTCTCTCTCTCTCTCTCTCTCTCTCTCTCTCTTTCTTGCAGACGAGGTGTACTGCGTTTACGAGCGACCGCATACTTTCAACGTGCGTCTCTCGTCAGAAGATCGTTCTAAACAGCGTCTGCGAACGAGCCTTCCACTGCGATAGGCCGGAAGTGGTAATCGAGTCCCTTTTTTAACGGGGACACGCTTTCACGAGCACTCGTGAGCCATTTTACGTGCACTCCGTGTGCGCTATTAATGCGACGTCATTCATTCACTCATTCATAGTTTGTTCGTTCACTCTACGTAATTACGCGTGCACGCGCACCGAGAAAGAGAGGGGGAGAGAGAAGGAAAGATCTTTCCTGCGCAGAGCGTCTAATAAATAAGTCTTCTTACAGCTACGAATCAAGTTTGCCTCGTAAACCACCTCCTCCCTCTTTCCTCTACTGTATCGGCATCTCTCCGCTATAACGAATTTCATTCGAGGCACATCGTGAGAATTCTCTGCGCGAGATTCTGAAGTTACGAGCCCTTTCGGTTGCATCAACCAGAGCGAAATACGCCTCGTTAAGTATATTCATTAGTAAAATAACTATTATTCATTATCACGATGGAACGGCAATAATTATTGTTATAATAATGGTGATTATAATATTAATTATTATTTATTAACAGGAAAACACACATTCCCCCTTTAGTGACAATCACATTAACAAATTACGTTTCATTATAAGGAATGAAGTGCACCGAGCGATAGAATATTTCAAACATGAGAAATATTTACTCGTTGAGTATCGATAATGCATTTACTCAAGTCAAAATTTCTTTGTTGAAATAGATAATTATTATAAATAATTGTTGAATTAAGGTAATAGAGAAAAAAATAGAGATAGAGAAATAGAGGCAGAGGGGTAGAAGCAGAGACGTAGAGATAGAGATAGAAGGAGGAGGGAGATGAAAGAGAGAGAGAAAGGGAAAGAGAGCTATATCTGCATTTTCGTTTGTCCATTCGTGCTATATTTTTTCTTTTGCATCCGGGTTGAGAGAAGCACGAAGAGGGAAATCCGGGCGTTCTCCGATGACACAGATAATTTCACTAATCGAAGTTCTGAATCAGCGTGCCGGCGTTTCCGCGAGCTTGTCCGGCTGTCGTCGCAGCGCGTCGGCCGCGTTGTCTCTCGCCGGGCGAATATCCCGGATTTGTCACGTTCTCCCGCTCCGCGAGAATTCGTGCGTGTTTCGCGTCTAATCGTCACCAACGGGAAATTACATCGAGTTTCCTCGGGCCCGTAATTTACGCCGGCGCGTCGAGTACACGACATTCCGCGCGGCCCTTTACGACCGCGAGCGCCGTTCATTGAATGTCAGACGGCAGAAAGAGCGGGAGAAAGAGAGAGACAGAGAGCGACCGAGGAGCAGCCTAGGTCGACCCAGAAACAACCCCGATTATTGCGCGCAACCTCCCGGCAGCCTGAAGGCCGCGCGCTCTTAACTTTATCGACTGCACTCCTTAAGATCAACCCCACGCAAGGGCCGCGGGGGAGTGCTGGAGTCGGAGGTGCGCACCCGATCTCGAAATTCCGCTCGTTTCCCATCACATATTCCCCGATCGCGCTGTTTCTTTTTCACCTCGGGATCGTTCCATATTTAAGGGTGGATGTTTAGAACGGCTGCTGCCGTGGATCAAGCCCGTCCCGATAGCGGCGCCTCCCCGACGTTCCCAAGAGGCGGTCGAGGTATGTCTTGGAAAAAACTACCCCCCGAAGGTCGCGACTAGCAGCGCAACGAGAAACCGTGAATCAAAGAGCGTCGTCATTGGAAAGATTGCGAAGAAGGTGGAATCCAACTCGGCGATGGAATGAAACGTTCGGGAGAGCGGGGGAGAAAGAAAAAGAGAGAGAGAGAGAGAGAATGAAGAGGGAGAGAGGGAGAAGGAAAAAAGTGGAACTACCTTGAGAAACGGAGAAACACATCTCGGCCGGCAGCAGATTAATCTTTGAGGCACGACGGCCGCGCGCGGTAACGTATATGAAGCGCAGGTACGCGCGACACTTAATCCCGGAATGCAAACGCATGTAAATTTCACGTGTATCATTTTCAAAAGTCAACTGGACGAACCGAGCCAATCTTTTAAAAGCGTTTCCCTGTTATTTCGCATCGCGGAATCACCGTCGCGTTCATTTCGCGCGTTACCCCCTGCCTCTCTTGTCCTCGCCACGCTCCACGCTTTTACTCACAGTTGAATCGCGGCGGAACATTAGACTAATGACGGAAAATTCGATAAAGAAATGCGTATACGGTGTTATCCCTTCCACTTTGCAAATAAAATGTACGCATCAACGCACACGGTAATGCGTGCTGTGTGCTAACCGAGATTACGTTCTGGCTACAAAGTGTCGTGTACGTTCGCGTACAGGTAAGTGTGTGTGTGTGTGTGTGTGTGTGTGTAGACGTGTGTCGGTTTTAAAAATTAACACATACTATCATCAGACAAGAGAATAATTGCGTAATGAACGAGGAAGGTTACGCACGCGTTACATGGAGCGGAAGGGAGAATGAGAACTCGTTGTTCTCACTCCATCTTCCTCTCTCCTTCCGGAGAGGGGGTCGCAATTTTATCCTGGGATTTACACGGCCTCGCTGCGGGAATTTTATTCCCGCGAGCTGCGCGATGCGTTCTGGCGGTCGGAGGATCTTAAAGAATCGATGTAGACCGTAATGCCCCGTCATTTCTTCACGGACGACGACGACGAGCTCGACTCTCCCCTTCTCTCGCTCTCCTCTCTATCTCCGGCCGTACGAATCCATTCGTCGTCGACAGAGAACGAACAATTACATTTGCAGAATCGCAAATCAGCCAATGAGATATCGCTCGCTCGGTGTTCTCCGATAGCTCGTCTCGTCTCGATTCGACTCGACCCGCTTCGATTCTTATTCCGCTCGAAAATCCCGCCGCTACCGTCGCCGCGAGCGCACGGGGGCGGATAATTTGTTAAAGTTCCCATACGGGACGAGGCGAGGGAGGAAGAGGGGAAAGGAGGAAGAGAGGACTATAGAAAGTGGCACGGGGCGGGGGGGAGTAGCACGAAGAGGCGCATTTTTATTTTAGCGGGTGGCTGACGGCGCATCCAACTTCCGCTCGTCAGCGTGGACTCTGTTCAAACATTACCGGCGTCGTCCAAGTTCGTGAGGAAAGCGGATGATTCGGCTCGTCGAACCGTGAACCTCCCCCTCGCGCCCGACCACGCGCTATTCCTCCCCCCCCCTCCCATCGTCCCATCCTCTATCCCCCTCTCCTCGGTACCATCCCCGCACCGGATCTGCGTGAAAGGGGCGAGATTTCCCTGCGGTTCGTTCCTCTTTTTTTCTTCTTCTTCTCTTTTCTTTATCCGCGCGAAAGGAAGCTGCACGCGATTTATAAGGATACCACCGCAAGGCGAGTTTGCCCGCGTAAACGCGAGGAAAGTTTACCCACCCCTTCTACTCTCCTCCGCGGGGGTTTCTTTTTCCTTCTTCTTTATTCCTCACGCTGGTGAATAACACTTTACGCGGACCGGATGGGATGATGTAGTATAGTAATGGCGGCGGGTCGTCCTGCTGCGCGAATTGCGCAGTATAAAGCAATGTTAAGAGGTGACAGATACACTGAAGCGAGGCGGCAAGAGAGGGAAGGAAGAAATTAAAACTTTAAGTTATGTCGTAGTCGGCATGGTATTTCGTGGACCAAAATGGATTAATTGGAATCATATAAATGGACCAACCACTTGACTGGCGAGTTGAATTTCGCAAAAGTACTTAAGTTGGCTTAAAATGGATTTTCAAAAATTCAACAATGTCATTAAAATTTTGTATCTAGGAGTCTTTGAGACTTACGAATTTGAAAAATGATAACTAGAACCGTAATTCTTGTGTTTAAAATTCATCATTGAAAAGAAAAAAACTCCAAAATATGAAATTATTAAAGAATACGGCCAAGAATCTATAAGCCACCAGTCCAAATTCACAGCTAAAAAGTTTTGAAACCATTTTGGACTTAAAATAAAGTTTATGGTGCGTAGATTACAAATATGCAAGTATCGAAGTGGTCAGACCTCAAGTAAACCAAAGATATGGTCCATTAAAAATTACATTTCCACAAAATGACGCCAATACTCGTAAGTTAGTGCCTAACTTTTAAAAACCCCCAATTTTATAAATAACGAAATATCATACAGAGAAAAAAATATCTAAAAATTAACAAATATTTATTAGAAGGATATTATTTTTTTTAAACCGAGTTCTGTTTACTCGGCTCAAGTAAATAATACTCGGTTTAACCTTTAGACTGCCGAGAAAGCCACTTTTGTAGCTTTGCACAAATCTAAAAATTCTGCGCCATGTGTATCTTATTTATATAGAAAAATTTTTTAGGAAAAAACCACTTTTTTATGAAAAAATGCCGGCAGCCTAAAAGTTAAATGAAGAGAATTTAAGTAAATATGTTAATGGTATCCACCTAATAAATATTTGATAATTTTTAAATATCTTTTTTCTTAGTGCAGCAATATCAAAACGTTTCTGTGAGTCAAGGAATAATGAAAAGTCACGATATCGCAAAGTTGTTCGATTTACTTCGAACAAAGTTCGAATAATATAGTGTACACAGAAAAATATCATTTCTAAGAAGAGCAATCAACTCAGTTTGCTTTCTTTCATTTAAGTAATGGTTCTCTTCAACAGGGAACATTTTCCTGCTAATACTTAGGTGCGATTTTACAAGCGTACCAGTATCGGGCCAACATCGGCTGCCAACTTTCGGATGTCGGCCCAATAC